CATCCACAGGCCAAGAGCAGGAGCAGCAGTGCCCACCATCCACGGCCACTGCAGCTCCACAGCCCCGGCTCTGCTACCTGGTGAAGGAGGAGACAGGCTACGGCTTCTCCCTGAAAAGCACAGAAGGTGGGAGCCTGCAGAGAAGAAACTGGAGATTCATATAACTATAAATATAAATATATAAATATAACTATAAATTTGGCTGCAGGGACAGAGGCTACCTCAGTTAACACGTGGGAGTTAGCAGGGAGACACAAACTGCTCTTGCTAACAGAAAGGAAGTGAGAAGTAGCAGGATGAGTTCAGATCCATCTCCAGAACATTTCTGTACAGCATGTGCAGTGCAAGGTTTTCTGAGGACCATGCTTCTCATGGAGTGGAAAACAGATGAAAAAAAAAAAAAAAAAAAAGAGAGAGAAAAATAATAAGCTATTTTCTGCTTATTTAAGCCCACTTAACAAAACCAAATTTACAGTCCCTGCTCAAACACTAGATAAACACTCAATGTGCTATGTTAAGTCCTGTTCCATTCCTAAAATCACCTCAGGAATCAGCACATGAGGTTCTAGACAGCTGTAATAAACGCTTTCCCTGATTTTTAAGTTAATTCATTTAAAAAGAAAAGGATTTTGAACCTTTTCCATATATGCCTTTTTTCCAAGGCCAGTCAACGGAAGAGGGAGGTCTTTTGGAAAGCACCACCTCTAAAGAGCCCTCTAAAGGGTATTTTGGAATGCAATATTATTGAAGGACCAAACATAGAAGGCTTCCAAACACAGGAAATTATTAAATGTATAAAATCACGTAAAAGCAGCTTCTCTCTTCAAAATGATGGGGGGATAGGAGGGTGGGGGGGAATAGGAATCAAATCCCTTTCAGCTATGTTAATCAGCCACTTTGCACTCCTGGTAGAGAAATAAACACCATTTTGAGCTGCAGATAGTGAACAAATATCTCCCTCCACCACTGAAGGGATTCTTCCAGGCCAGAGTAAGAGACAGAGGAGGGTCTGTGGTGCTCCTGTAGTCTGTATGCAAGCAGGGGCCAAGAATCTCTGAGGACATCAGTGCTGAGTTTCCTTAACTGCTATATTCAGGCCTGTTGCAGTGACTTACCCTGTGTAATGAGTTTTCATTTATTTTAGGACAGAAGGGGTTGTTCATAGTAGAGCTTTCATCACAAGGAGCAGCTGCAAAGGCTGGTGTCCAAAATAACGATCGCCTGATTGAAATCAATGGGAAAAATGTGGAAAATGACACCCACGAGGAAGTGGTGGAAAAGGTATTGATTTATCTTCTGTTCTGGCCTGCTTTCACAGCAACCTATCAGGGTTACTGAGGAGGCCAGGCTGGCTGATTTAAGCACTTCACAGTAAATCTTGGGAGCTGCTGTTCATGTAGCACCAGCACATCAGCGTAGCCCTCTGTGCTGGCTCTGTTATCAAGCAGCTTCTTGAGCTGCCTCTCAATGAACACTGCCATCAAGACAGGCCAAAGGATTTTCAATAACACATGTGTACTGCTGCCAGGAACCCTATTCAATAAATCCATTCCCTAGAAGTCCTGGAAATGCTGCTAATGGCAGGAGAGCAAGTCATCAAATGTGGTTTCCAAGGCAGGAGGAAGGAAGCCTCTGATGATACAGTCAGCATGGAGCAGGGAAGATTCCATGATTTTAGACAGTAGTCCCCTTTCTCCTGTGAAGAAGTCCAAAACTCATGAAATTTACTGTGCAAGTAATTTCACTAATTGGCTGCAAAGAACAATGCTAATGAGGCTTCCAGCTTTCCGCTGCTGGCACTGCTAAAACGCAGCTGGGGCTGAAGAGATTTCAGAGAGCCATGAGACTCCAGCATTCCAGCAGCATTCAGGGCACACAGCGAACTATGGAACTGTGCAACACTGGGTTTCTCTGAGCTACTGCAACACCAGCAGCACAGTGACACTGGTTAGGGTGAGTAAAAAGAGCAGCCATTAGAATAGAGAGGACTATAAGAGAAAGACAGGCTTGGAGAGGTTGAAGAGACAGAAAAAAAAAAACTCACCTCAGAATCAGTAATACAGGGAGACAGAAGAGGACCAAGAGTGACAGAAACTTGACTTGTGTCACTGTAATCTAAAATAGTGGTATAGATAGCACAGTAAGTCTATATTAGAGAGTTCCACACATAGAATAGCCAAACACTCTCTACTCAGGCTCCCTGGATTCTACAGCACTGCATGCCACTCCCATGGCCCTACAGGTAAATCCCTACGCATCAGGAACACAGTATGAAATATGGAAAATTTCCTCATTCATTACATGCCCTTGATTTTCTTGTAGTCCAGATTTCTGGCTGGAGGGGGGAAAAAGAAAAATCAATTTACAGTAGCATGGCCTGGACTAACAGCACCCAGACTCCACTATGTATCAGTGCACCAGTCACCAAATATCCCCAATTCCCACGTGCTGTTGAAGGGGTGACATCTGAGACTGTACATGTGCTGTCACAGGTAAAGAAGTCTGAAAATCATGTTATGTTTCTACTTTCAAATGAAGAAACAGACTGCTATTTCACAAGCCAGAGGATGGCACTGAGCAAAGAGAGCGCCAGCCTAAGGTTGCTTCCCCTCAAGCCACGACTTATTGAGATCCAGAAGGGAAAAAGCGGTTATGGATTTTATCTACGGCTGGAACAAAATACTGGTGGTAAGATCCAAGTTAACACCCAGGCCATGATATTTGCTCTGCCATTGCTTCCTATACGATGTTTGCAGCCCTCATTCTCTTTGGCTTCTTGCTGGCCATCTAGGAGAAATCCTCAGGGAAAACAGCCTCAACCCAAGGTGCAATTCATTTACATTTGCCATGCTTTTTTGTCTTTAAAACTCACCCAGCTCTGCCTTCACAGCAATCTTTCTCCCCTTCTTATCTCAGACCACGTAATCAAAGATGTTAATTCTGGAAGCCCAGCAGCCATGGCAGGTCTAAAGGACAATGACATCTTAGTGGCTGTCAACGGCAAGCGAGTGGATGGGCTGGATCACGAAAGCGTAGTGGGAAAAATTAAGCAGTCTGAGGAAAGAACCTCCCTGCTGGTGGTGGATAAGGAAACTGACAGCATGTACAAACTGGTAAGAGAACACAGACCACTGCCAGGAGTTGGTAATTTATCACAATGAAACAGCCAAGCTGCTCTGACACTTTTTCAACTGGCAGGAAATGCCTAAGAGACACCTGTATGCCAGCAACTTCACTTACACCGGTGCAGGAAGTCACTTAACACCCAAATCTCTGGCCTCTTCCTGATTTTTATAGACACTATTGCAACAATTCTAAATTCAAACACATCACAATAAAAGTTAAGGTTTGCTGTTAAGACATCAAATTCAGAGCTACATGACTGCGTAACCATTTATAAATAAAAAATTTCCCTTCTCACATAGATCAACACTGTAGTTGTCCAATCAGAATAGGGAATTCTTCACTGCAGCTAAAGTCTGAGTCATTAACAAAATTTCAAACAAAATATGTTGAGCATGAGAGCCTGAAACAGATTTCACAGCAGAAATTTTTATTTTAATGTGATTTTGTCACTTTTTTCAGGCCCAAATTTCCCCTTTCTCATACTACTACAAAGCACAGGCTTCAACCCCAGCTAAAGTGGAGGAAAGAGTGGAGTTGCACACTGAGCAGAAAGTGAACCACAAGCCAAGGATCTGCAACATGGTGAAAGGACCTAATGGATTTGGCTTCAGTTTAAACATGATCAAGAACAAACCTGGATTTTTCATCACTGAGGTACTAATGAAGAACGGGGAGCAAGGAGAAGCTCAAGCAGTCTGTTGGGCAGATCCTCCCCTCCATCCTGCAAACAAATGCAAGAAAAGCCACAAAAGTCTCTTTTCCAATGTTCTCTGATCAGAGTTAGAATTGTTTAAGTCAGACTAACATTGTTGGCTCAAGATAAAAAATGAGCACCAGAAAACATTCCTTCTTCTGTTAGACATCTAGAGGGAAGGAGAATTCAGCTTTTGCATAATTTCTGCTTTTATTCATGAGCCTGGCACACTAAAATTAGTATTTTGGTCAGAATTGGTTTTTGCTGTAGAACAGCTTCGTTTCAGAGGAGATGCCTTTGCCCTAATTCTACCCACCTTCTCTGAATTCCACAGCTGGTAAAAGCCAAACTCTTTCTGCCCAAATTACATCTGTAACTTCAGCTTTCTGGAGAGGAGGGGTTCCACTCATTACTAAGGGACCTGTGAATTGTACTAAACTCTGAAGTTATTGAATAGAGACCTCCAAATAGTTAGAAAACTTTCTCTACCTGTCTTCATGGCTCTACCATGCCACATTCCTATAATGTAAGTCTGTCAAGATCAAGAAACATCTCAAAATCTCAAACTGATGGGCTCCATGTTTATTATGTCTGGGCCCATTGCCCATCCCAATTCTCTCCTTCCCCATGCTTATTTCAGCATCCTCTAGGGAAAGCAGCAACTCAGCTGTTCATGCATCTTTCCAAGCTTCCTGCCAAGAGCCTGCTTTGAACTCCCCTCTGCAGGTACAAAGCCAGGGAGCAGCTGGCAGAGCAGGTGTGGAAAACGACGACTTCTTGGTGGAAGTGAACGGAGTGAATGTGACCAACGAGTCCTACGACAAGGTGGTGGCAAGGATCCAGAGCACTGGGGACACACTGACACTGCTGGTGTGCAGCAAAGATGCTTACAGGTACTTCCAAGGCCAAAACATTCCCATCACAGCCTCCATGGCAGAGTCAGACACTCCTGAGCCTCCTGCTCACACAGAAAACCATCCAGCAGAGCCAGAGAGGAACTCACCTGAGCCAAGGGAAAGGGTGAGTAATCCTGCACTAGGCAGATGCTGAGGGATCACGCAGGGGATAGAAAAAACACTTTTTTTTTCAGGTAGTGAGTTTTTGAGACCTAGAATTGTTAACTTGAGCCTGAAATTTTGCAAGTTATTAAAAGAAAAGCTGTTAATTATCACAACATCTCTTCTTTTCCCCACAAGTAAAACAGGTGAGTATCTTTAATGCAATATTAAATCACACAAAGAATGCACGTACAAGAGATTTTATGGAACAAGATAATCCAAATACAGTAATCCCAATGATGGGAAACAGGCAATACAATTGTGGCAGTGGAGGTGAAAGTGCTTCAATAAAACAAACAGTGCTTAAACAGAAAACATAACCAATGTTTGTGAAAACCACACGAAATATTTCAAAATGGATCCCTTTGGAGAAGGAACAGCAAGTGATAGGTTATGACATTTTCTAGGCAATGTGCTGCTTTGAAATTATTTTACACTAGAAAGAATCCAAAGCATGACTGAAGTCAGAAAAACAAGAAGTCAGAAAAACTGTTCTTGAAACAGTTTAAACCCTCTGTGGTCTGCCTTAAATATTAAAATGCTTATTTTCTGATCATGCAAAAGAGACAGACAAGGTAAGACCAATTGTGTTTCCCGTTTATTTTTCATGAGCCTTGCCTGCAAGTTTTTTCAAGAATGTCTTAGCACCCAAGCTGCATTTTGCAGAAGTCAGCACTACTTTTGTGTTCAAATTGTGCAGATATGGGAATTCAACAATAGAAACCCTCTATTGAACAAAATTCTCTGAAAATGTACTTAACCAAAAAAACCCTTCAACAACAAAAATGGTATTTGTTGGTTCATTCTGTCATCTAAACAAGTGTGTGATTAGTGCAGATGAAAACAGGAGTCTGCAACAGTGCAGACTATCAAACATGTTTACAAACTGAAAATAATCACAACATCTTTGTTACTCCTCTGCAGGCAGACTCATCCTCCTCCTCCTCCCAGTCAGCAGCCTCCACAAGAGCTGACAGTGACAACAGTGATGACACAAAGTTGTGAAGAGACAAAACTATGCCAAGAGCAACAAAAAAGAAACCTGCCAAATCTTTTCTTCAGTTCTTCTTTGCTATTCCACCTCTCAGAACTTGGCTGTTCCAAGGAGTACCAGAACCATAAAGGACTGCAAAGCCTTGCTGCAATAAACACTTCAGTGTAACTTGCATCCATCCATTTAACACCCTGCAACTGCTGCTCCACTGGCACAATTTCTGCCTCGTGGAATGGGCACTCAGTCACTTCTGAAAAGGCCTAAAGAAATGCAACTTTATAATTAAATGTCCTGCAGCAGAAGCTGGAAATGTTTTATAGATTTGTAAGCATCTTAAGCTGTTATGGATGAGCTCTTAATAAAGAGCAATTGATTTCTGCCCATTTCCCAGGAAAAGGAGCTCTCCAAGGCCATCACCTCAATCTCTGTGGCATCTTTGCTTACAGCAGTACAGCTGCTCTGAAATGGCATAAGCCCAGCTACCCTGTGCATTATGATCCTTTGTCCTGCTAACATTGCAGAAGCTTCCTTCGAACATTAAGCTAACTTTGTAACTCACAACTCAAGAAGTTTAATCACTAGTTTGTCTCCTCTGCATACAGGTGTGGATGTAATTCAGTCATGCATGTTTGTCTAACCCCAAGTCACCACCATGTTGTCCTGAATGGGACACAAATGGCTCTGTAATACTGCTGCTGTGCACTTTGCTTCCTTGCTGTACACCAAAGACAATACAGAAATAAATTGTTTAGAGTGGTTATTTTCCCCCCTCCAAATCTTACTCTTACCACCTACAATTTATGTTCCAGAACAATTATAAAACAAAGCCTGAAAAAGTGGCCATGAGAACCTGAAAGTTTAAGTCACAATAATAAAATTCCTAACATACAATGTAAACAAGGCATGGCAGTGGTCTTCAACTTAACACTGAACTCTACCAAAGAGGAACCCAAAACCTCAGTTCCACTTTTGCAGAGAGAGAAAAGAAAGTTGACACTCAGAAAGAGAAAGCAAATCTCCAGTTCCTAAGGATAGTAGGTACTAGTGATACACACTATACAGAAATGGAGTTCTCTCCACTCCACTCCTGCTGGAACTGCAAATCCCAACCACCTTCTGGCTCAAATCCAGCCAAATCTTTGGGACTGACAAAAAACAACCGTGATACTTGCATATTACAAAAGCTTATTTAATTCCACAGACTCAAATATTCAGTTCCAGAACTGCAGTCCTCCAAATCCCAATTATAAGTTGATTTTTGAAAGAAAAATCACATTTCTCGGTGCCTTCTGTGAAGATGATGTTCCAACAGCAGGAGGTGCTCCCTCAGCCAGCCTACCACACAAGCTCTGACGCCACTGGATAGTGGTGTATCCAGCATTGCTTTTATTGCCTGGCAATTGACTGTTTCAAGTTTAACACACACATCCCCATCCCTTCCAGCTGTGGCACTGAACAAAATGAGCCACAGAGCTTGATGATGACACGTGTGGAGGTTCAAGGGGCCAGAACACACAGAGCAGTCCCGTCCCATCAAGTCCTGCAATGCACAGGAGCTGCAGCGGCGCGGCTGACAGGACACAGAGCAGTGCAGTGCTGCAGCTCTGCCTCAGAGGGCCATATGCTTTTCTGGGGCTTGTTTGTGTGCTAAATAGAGAAAGAGGATACTGGAGAGGGCACTAACTAGGAATATCACATCGAACCAACGGTGATAGAAGTTGAACTGGAGCTCTCCCAGGACCTCGGTGATGATGGTGCGGTATTCCGGAGGCATGCTCATGCGGATCAGCAGCACTGACGACACAAAGTACATTCCCTGCAAGCCAAACCAGGGACAGCAGTCACTGCCTCACCTCAGCCTCTGGGCTAACAGGGCAGCACACAAAGGTGCTGCCATGTGTTCAAACACACACGAGGTGTGCGTGCAGAATTGCACGTGGGTGTGCCCACAATTCTCCATACTCACCATTATCTGTGCTAACAGCAGAACAATAACATTGGAAGACTTGCTGCTGGAAATGGCATAGAAGAACTAGGGGAAAAAAAAAACCAAAAACATTGGAAATAAGCAGGTAGGTTAGTCTGATGTGCCTTAGGACAGAGTGAAAGGTACACATTGTTCAATACCTTTTCATCTCAAAATACCCCATCAAAACCATGCATTCTAGAGGGCTACCTATAGACTACTTTCATAAACCTCAAATTTTCATAAACCTCTCATAAACTTTCATAAACCCTAGTCTGCATCAATCTTCCCCAGCCAGCTGCACCTTGTGTTAAAAATCACAAAACAATACAGAGAAGTCTAAGCATAGGTACCAAAGGCCAGGTGAAGTCAATGAATCACATGTCTGTTGAGTTAATGCCTTTCTGTCCCACCAGCAGCTTAAATTAAGTAATGCAAATGCTTTTAATCACCATCTCATCAACCTTACTAACAAGCCTTGGCTACAGCAGCATTTTGAACCCTTGCTTACATTTAGCATCTTATTTAACATCTAGATCCCTTCCTGACAGAGACTGGGGAAGTATCCTGCAAAAGGTATTCTTCCTACCTTCCTCCCTCTGCAAGAATTTATATTCAGATATTTAAATATAAATACATATTGAAAGTTTATACAGTACTTGCTCCATCAAAAGGTAAAGATCTGATAATGAATTTCTCTGTGTAAAACCACTCAAGAGTCCTGGTTCTTACCTTTGTAAGTGTGATTAACAACCCTCTAATAGAGGTAACAATGATTATTCCAACAAGAATAAAGGAAATGTGCTGAGACCAGAATTTGACCTGTATCAACAAGAAGAACACAGTTAAAACTTTAACATTAACTTCATTTACACCACCTTGTATAGCTGCCAATTCTTCAGGGTCTTTGTCTCTCCTAAATGTACAGATATCTATTGTAGACAAGGTTTATATAACAGACATTTTCACAAATGTATTAGCAACTGTTTACTCCAAACACAAGAGGAGATTTAGTTTTACCAATCACAAAGAACCCCATTTTCATAGATTATGTAAATGACAGAACTATTTGCATAAAGAAATCAAAATTACTCTGGAGCTGAATGTATTAATCTAAGCAGATTGTCTAAAGTGCTTCTATTTCTCCAAAACAAAAAAAAAAAAAAAAAAAAAAACCAAATCACTGCCTCTCTGACAAGACCACAATCCCATCTCAGCATAAAATCAGTGTGAAAGCAACATTCATGGTGCATTTTCCTTTCCTCCTTGATAAGTCAAAAGCCAAAGCCACATTCTCAGGGTCTATCACTTTCTTCCTAGCAGCAGGATGATTTTATTTAGATAAGATATGAATTGCTGAAAAGGCTGCAAGAATTAATAAAAGCTCACATCAAACTGGATTCCCAGGTAATTTACAGTGATCTCAATTCCTCTTGTGACTGGATCAGTCTTCCCCACACGGTCAAATACAATATTGATGGTTGCCTGCAAGAGAGATGGAGTTACCTTCAAGCAAAAAGGCAAAAGCATTTCTCATTCTCACAAGTGAGGCTCATTGTACTACCAAGAAAAGGCAGGGGGTGGTCAGATTGCCAAAGGCAGCACAAAACACATCCATGTAAGAATTAGTGGTGCAATGCTATATAGAAAAAGCCAGATCCAGAGCTTTACTTCAATCAAGGGCCAGTTTCCTTCAGAATTTCTGGATTTTAAAGAAACTATAGCATTACTTAATGAACTGCATGCATAGCATAATCTATGCAGGGTGTATTTGCATACATCCATGAAAAAAATGAAATAAAACATTTACATACCATGAAGATTTTCCAGACACAATAGATGGAGAAAAAATAACCCAAAAAGTTAAAGTATTTTCCCTGGAAAGTTTTGGAATACTCTATTCTCTCCTGAAAATACAAAATAAGGGAGAGGGAGCAGAACATTAAAAAATATGTCATTTTCACAATCACCCACAACATAAAATTGTAATGTAGCACCAACAGTAGCAAACACAGCCCTATCCTTCTACATATTTCAATTCAAATGTTTCTGAACTCCTAAGTGTTAATCCATAAGCTTGTAAATAGTTACAGGGACATGGGGCAGACTCAAGGATAGATCTGAACTGTCATCTAGCCCCAAAATTAAAGCAACAGATCCTCACTCCACTGCATTACAACATTTCACCATTTACCTATGGAACAGGTTTCAATTTCTCATAACAATGTACTCTTTCAAACTACTCTGACCTCCCAACACCCATCTGGGCAGTTATTTGCTGTGTACCTTTGTTGCATGCAAGTCAGCAGTTTCCAGGAAAAGCTGCCGACTCAATTCTTCCAGGGCATCCACTTCTTGCTGGATAAGGGACAGATCTGGCAAACCAACATAGTCAAGGCTAGAACACATCATGAATTCTTAATTAAGAAAACATTCCCCACCTTCAGCTCAAGGACCACATCTAATGGCCTGGTGTCTTCTTACACCCAGATCAGCTTTGTAATTCAGACTTCATGGTCCTTATTAAAACAGCAAGAAAGAAAAACCTCAAGGATGAACCTGATGCACACTACTCCAGTTTAAGGAGGTAGGCAAGACACAGTATTTAGGCTGTCATGCAACAAACTCTTTATTTCCTTGCCTGGGAAACACATCACAGAATAGAACCAGAGCTCTCAAAAACTGCTGCTCCACTTTGATCAGTGTCCCTTGCCACTGAAGTGCATCTCACAAGATGTCATCTCACATCATCTTCATGAACAAAACTGCTGAGTAACTGCTGCAAGAGATTAGTGATTACTATGAATAGTCTGTCAAATAGCCAAATTCTGATTTTAGCAGCTAGTGTTAAAGGAGAGGAAGAAGAGTCCTCAGCCTCAAATATGCAAAATGCACTTCAAGTGGTCTGACAGAAGTCATTGGTAAGCAACTCTGTTAGAGAAATACAGACCCTTGTTATTCCCAAGAGATTCCCTCTACAGGGAACTGGATGATCTTAAGGTCCCTTCTAACCCAAACCATTCTATGAATCTGTGTTAAGTGTGCACAGCAAGTGTCCCCTAATCTGCTGTACACCTCACCCACGGTGATGCAACAGAACATTTATAGAGCAGGGCAGAAACATAAAACTTCTGCCTTTGTCACAGTAAAACTGTGCCCCAGGCCTGGGCAAAAGGTCAGACAGTGCTAAAGAACAAACTTCCCAGGAGACACTAGGCTTGAAACGTGCTGAAACACAAATGCTTTGTGACTGTCCCAACTAACACCCTACCTCTCAAAACAAAGAAAGCTGGATCCACCTCCCAAGGCAGGTGCCAGCATGCAGATGAAGGATACTTTCACTGCCAGGAACAGATGTTGTAACACTTTTTATCATTCCCCAGAAGCCAGTGGGTCTGTTATGCACTTCTCCTCTCTGGAACATTGTCCTGTGAGCCACTGCTATCCTGAAAGAACAGAAAACACAAGTCCTTAGGAATATAATATTTTCATGAAAAATCAAAACAAGAAAAAAGAAAAAAAATCCACCAGTTTCTTAGAAGATGCTGTTAAACTAAATTCACCAAAAATAGATGACCCTTTTTTCTTCCCCTAAACACCAATCCTGCTACATAAAATTATCCTGATTGGGTCTGGAGTAGAGCCCAGATCTAATCAAGTGAGATTCAATGAGCCATTTCCCAAGTCTTCCATTCAGGATCCTGTTTCAACTCTAAAGGATTTAAACCCAGTTAAACATTCAGAATTCAAATGGATTTCTGAGTCATGTGATTAGCTGCTTTCCTTTCCTCAAACACATGACTGTGTTATCTCAAGCTCAGGAATTAGAAGACTTCTCATGCTCCTGCCTCCCCTTGGACACCTCCTCTTTATCAGGGCAATCCGCCTTTTCCATGGAGCTACGAGCTCTGGATGGTGTGCAGAGCACTCTCTGGTATGCTGCCACTCACTGCTGGCTGCATGACAAGCTGCTGTGAAGCACAAACACACAATTCCATTCTTGGACTGAACCACTGGATGCTCCAGGCCATCTGAACGTGACTCCCCAGGTTAATTCCAACACTCCAGCAGCAGCTGCGTATCGTCCCTCACACTTCCACGTGCACCACAGCATAATCCCCATGAGCACTCTTGGCCTCTGCTCTCCTTCCCTCACATTTCTCCTCACTGAAATTTGTGAGCAAGTTATCCATTCCTAAGCTGACAACTATTCACAGGATGTTCCATGATTCTGTGGTGTTTAGCTCCTTTCTTCTAGCTGCAGCCAGCATTGCTACATTCGGCACTGAGCCCTCTTCAAGGATGTTGATAAGCAGTGTAATAAAAAAAAAAATTAAAAATCATTCCATCATTCCTTTGACATCAGCAAAAGAAACACCCTTAGGGCACCCTACATACAGATAAAAGCACATATGGCCCCAGACTACAAATAACAGAGATCTTAGAATCCTGAGAGATGCCAAATGTAAGAAATGCATTTTTAATCCTTGCTTTCTTCACAGTACACAGATTCCCATGGTCCCTCCCAAATGACCCACAGCATTGTAGCAAAAATGCAGCTATGCCCAGGTGAAACACAAGGCCATAGATACACAAAGGCAAATCTTCTCTTTTTAGAGGTGACAGGGATCTCTGCATCCACACAGCAGCCAGGAGTTCTGGAGACCTGACAGAAAGGATCCACAGGCAAACCCCACACACTCTGTGCGTGTAGATTGGTAATGACAGTGTCTGGTATTTGTGTGTCACATCAGCTGATCTGACTCTAACATGACACAAATGAAGCAATGCCATCAGAATGCTGGCATTTCAAACCTGAGGATTAGTTATGTCACACCTGCAGGAACAAGTATAAAGAATCTGACAGCCTTAGAGGTGAGTTTCCAAAAGGCTTTACTTGATGGTGCTCAGGAAGGAGATAAAAGTGATTCCTGTGCAAAAACCATCAGGGCAAACAAGTTTCACAGCTATCTCCTACTGACTAGAAAGCCAGCATGAATAAGGGTTGGCATGAGAAGAAATGTCAGGATCAGCAAAGAAAACAAAAAGCTTTATGTTCTATTGCCTTAGAACTCTTGTGCTCACTGATAAGTTCTGAACTATCAGTAGTACTGAGAAGGTGGCCAGCACATCACTGACAATTTATGGAACTGCAGCATTTACCCTGAGCTGGAAAATATTGCTATTCCCACTTGTTCTGCCAATTACTTGGTTGTGTTTGGACTGATACATATCTAACCTTTTAAATTTGGCTTTACATGAGCAAATAGTCCAATCATGCAAGCCCACCACTCCCTGCCAAATCAAAAAAGAGAACAAGAATCTACAGAACTCAAGCTTCTACTACTTCTTGCACAGTTCTGAGACTAGTTTGTTTTGTGGTTTTTGTTGAGTTTTTTTTTTTTAACAAATACATGAGTTTCATTATAATTCCCAAGTGATTAATACATGGCTCTTCATAATAGTTGGCAAGTTGCCATATTCAGAAGATTTCCTGGCCATAGAGGCATGAATGTGCTAGTTAGTTACAAGCCTCTGGCATCCTGACTTTTACCCCAACACCACTCTCCCTGGACCAGAGATCCAAAAAACACTGCACAAAACAAAAGAGCAGAGTCAGAAACAGCACTGCACAGTATCTTTTAACTGTGGTGCTCTTTTAGAGTGCTTCCAGTCAATTAAATCAATGAAACCTCAGTAATTAAATTCTCTCACTACTTACCATCTCACACATGACCACAAATACAGAGTTAACAGTTGTTCACCACTTTACATTTTCAAAGGGGAAGGAGGTTATGCTTTAGCTACACTTCCATGAGCTAATACTCATCAGCAGATATGTACATGGTGATAAATTTGGCTGTGTTAGGCTATCTAAAAGCCTGCACACATTAAAAGGTTCCATTGAAACATTAAGGCACCAAAAGTAAAGTTTGGGAGACTGCTGTGTCAGACAGTCACACCTTTGAAGTAACTCCAGTAACTGGATTTATTCTGCACTACTAGCAAGACATGAAATATGTAATACTGATATGAAATATGCAGACAAAAGTATTTCCAATGTAAATGAAATTACATTATTTCTGAAAGTAGTTTTTTTTTTTAGCTTGGGGGACATGGAATAAGCTAAACCAATGCCAGCAGAGTTCTGCTGGCACACTGGTGTACTACAGTATATCCACATTAGCAGTGTTTTGCAATTCTGCAAAACTTAACCAATATGAACCTTGCTGTTTGCAAGAATATAGCTGTGTCCCCACCAGCTCACTACCCTGCCTCAGCTTTGGCCAGGATCCACCATATGTACAAACCACTTTCTTTCTGCCCTGAAACCACGAGTAAGAGCCAGCTGTAGTGGCCTAAGGGTCCCTGACTCAGCAGGAGAGAAAGGTTCCCATCCTACAGATCAGCTATGCTGCCAGCAGAGTGTTACAAATGGTCTTGGAAGCCTAATCTGTGCCACTGCAGCCACAAAGGGCACTGCTTAGTGTTTAAAACAGTCATGTATCAGGCCAGAACAAAACACCACACAGCTCAACCCAATTCAGATTTCAAGAACCATCTTACACCACACTGACTGCAAATCCTTGAGATAAACAATTTCGTGCTACTGTTGTCCTCTCACCTTTTTTTCTTGCTAACAATCATGTCCATAGTCTGAAGGAGTCGTCGCTCCAGAGCCAGAATATCTGCATCTGTCACATTCCTGCAAAATAAAGACCCCAGTTAGGCCTGCTGCCCCATTTCAGAGATGTGCACATGCCTATGAGGCAAAGAAAAGCCTGTATAAGGGGAATGTGCAGCAGCAGTGGAAATGGTTCTAGCATGCAGACATGACAACAGCTAGATTCAGAAAAAAAGTAACAAAAAAACTTGAAACAATGCCACAGGAAAAGCAAAAAATAATCTCAAAAAGCTGGACAAGTATTTCACAGGGCTAAAGTTACCTGAGAAAGTAGGACATGTAAGTGTATGGACAGTTGACAGCCCCAAATCCTGACAGCAAAGCCATGAGTGTCACCCCAATCACACCAACACGGCTGATGAGCTGTTCTATAGACAGGATTCCTGAGGGAGGGAAAAACATGGCATCAGCAACCTTGCTCTTTTCACTCTGCTCCACACTTGGTGCCTTCCTAACACAGCAGAGAGCTGCTTAATTAATCTGACTGCCTTCCCACTGCAATGACCCCAGCTAACAGGAAGGACAGACAGGGAACTCCAGCTATGAAGAAACCTAAGACATACAGATATACCTAAGATATACAGATATGTGGAGAGGACTAAATATCAATATTTTGGCCCCAAACTAATAAAATTTGCCATTTGTCAAGATGGGGACCGAGATCTTCCACCAGGCACTATAAAGAAGTGTCTTCCAGAAAAACACTTCTGCAATTATCAGCAATTATCACCAAACCTGTTGGTCCTGGCAAACTGGCCTAAAAACATCTGAACCCCCATCCCATTAGAAGCGACCCCTCCAGATCAGATACAAGCTGTGCTGGTAGGACAATGGGGCTGGGAAGCTTAAGCTGCTCCTGGCTGTTCAGTGTTCATCTGGCTGACACACACACATTGCTGAGGTGACCACCAACAAGGTCTCCTACCTGAGCACCAAGTGGACTCTAAAACATGTAATTCAGCATGAACATCAAGCCTGTGCTGTAACCATCACCAAGGGCTGCATTTATTCTTAACCACAGACCTCAACCTGCCTTTGCAGGACACAGTGCCATGTGTAGTAAACACCACTCACTTTTTAGGGAGCTGGTTATAGAGCAGCTGCCACACACAGCACATTTAGAGCTTACACGATTGCAAAGCTGAGATGGCTGAGCGCCAAACCACATTTCATGCTTCAGAGAAGTGGAATGAATGATGAAAACAAGGCAAAAAGACTTCACAAAGGGAAACTGAGACACCCAGTCATGTGCAGCTGCACAGAGATTTACAGGAGCTACAGAATGTGCTACAATACACTGGCCTTTTGCCCCACACACTGTCAGACTGCAGCACTTAAAACAGAGGTGCCTTCAAAATGACATGACGTTCCACTGGTTGGAGCAATGCTTCCCCATGAAACTCACACATAAAGGGAATGAATGTTCCATCAACTCAGACAGAGGTAGGAGCTTTATTAGAATATTGGTGTGTCATTAGGCATAACCTTCCTTCTACTACAAGCTCCCAAACTCAGGTTTGTTAGGTAAGTTACAGTGAAAGGGAGCTCTTGCTCAATGCTGCACCTCTCAGCTGCAGGACACTGCCATCCTCATCCTCATCCCCACCTGCCTGAACTGGGTCACCACTGCCTGATGAAACCCACAGCAGCTGTGTCTGTACATGCAGGACAGCAGCACCCCAACCATACAGCAGGGAACAAACATGTGGAATCCTTTGCTCTAACCTCATGTCTGCATCTGCTAGGATAAGGCACTGTAGAACTCTTAAGTGGAGGCATCACACCCCGTAAAGTACAATTAAAAACAGAAAACAGCCCACTACCCATTCTGGAAATCTGCAGGTGTTACACAGCCTCCCAGAACCTTTTGGTGACCTGAAGAGGATTACCCAAACCCCACGGCTAAGTTTTTCCATTGGATTGTTACATTCTGCCAACTCAAGCACCTTCTGCAGCTCACAATGGATACAAGCTTTTCTTGGCAATGGAACACTGGGTAAAGGGATCGGCCCTATAGATCAGCAGCTGGATTTTGGGAGCAAATGACAACTGCAAAACACAGACACACATCTTCTCTTAGGAAACTTCCAGGATCACAGATGAAAGGGTGAACAGACCCTACACCAGTTGCTATCCCTCAACTTCTCATGTGAGTACAGAGTCAAGCAGCTTCCCACAGAACAGAAGGACTAAGCTGAGCATTTTGTATGCAGACAGACACATTCACCAATTTTCGTGAAACTGACCTGTTGGGAACAATATCCAAACAATTTTCCAGTGCAGGGGAAATAGAAGGGCAATGTAGTTACACAGGTAACAGAGGTGACAAAAGGTCTGGTTCTAACAGTGTTACAATCCTTCAGCACAGTCAGGCACATGCCAGCTCTGTTGGACCCAAACTAGCCCAAGTGCACACAGGATCCTCACACTGAAAACACTCATGGCCACAACAGAGACACCCAAGCTAATTCTGTACACAAACAGCTCTGGCATGCAGCAGGACTTACCAACCCACACTCCAGTCCTGTGCAACTGCACAGCCTCTGGGCTCAGGCACAGCAGCAATCTGTACCAAAGCCAGCACAACTGCCAGGCCCCTTGCTGGCCACAGTCTGGAGTTTAGGCACATGGCTGCGTTTGGGACACAACTGGACAGCCACTTGTGCTAAACTCATCTGATTTCAGTCACAAAAAAGAAAAATCTGACTGAAAAAATGTCAGATTAAGGATTAGTTGATGATCTGCTCCTTAAATAAACTAGGTCTAGTCTCCACAACAGAAAGAAGTGAATAAAAATTGTGATCAACTTTTTGTGGAGATAAAGTTTCTGTGTCCTCAAAAGTACACCATGTCCTTACATTACTAGGTTCAGTTAGAACTTACTTCCTTCAAGTTCTCCTGAGGTACTGAAAGAAAACTAATGAAAATAATCCAGATGTATCCACCCATTTCTGTCTTTCTGACAACCTCCACATTACAGATTTCAAAGCAGAGCAGACCCTCAGTTCCAGGAACTACTTTCTACTACTTTCTTTCTAGTCCCAACTGCAGAGCTGAGATAATAACAGCTCCAAAATAAAAGTGAAATAACAAAGCCTATTTGCAGGAAGGAAGAAATCAGCAAGAAAATGAAACTCACCATGTTTTGGGCTGAGGATAGGAAACGGATCCCCCAGCTTCCAGAAGAAATACATGAACGTCAACCACACAACACACGCAAAAAGCAGTTTCTGTCTGTGCACTAATGGAGAGGAGAAAGGGAGTGTTCAAAACAGGCTCTTCCTTTAGGGCATTTTATAGCTTGCAACATTTCTACATTGATCTAAATGCTACTTTGAGAATAGGTGGCCAAAGCAGGTGTCACCTGACAGAGCTACAGCTTGCAATGTGCACCCCCTCCCCTCACACAAGGCTCTGCTGTCCACATGGGACCACTTCACTCTTTGCCATCTTCATGGCAAAACCATATATTTAATATTCCCAACCTACATGCCTAAGCTTCACACAAAAGAGTGATGTGTATCAACAGCTCAAGGGTTAGTGTCCATTAGCCCATGGAAGAGGCCTCATCCAGACAGCAGAAACAAAACCAGCAAAACTAATTTACTGAGCTTTTCTGCTTCAGAAGTGATTTATTGAGCTTCTCTGCCTCATTTCTTTTGCCCCCAGCAGAAAAACACAGCCCTGCCAAGGGTTGCAGAGTTTGGCTGCAAGCTTAAAACTGCAAAGGAACAAATCCCAGTAATACTACTCCAAAGTGCTCAGCTTTCTGTTGAAACCCATGAAGAAAAGCAGCATTTGCTGGGGTCATGTGAAGCATTTCCTGACTGTTCAATGAATGGTTCATGATAAAGCATAAAGTTCCAAAGAGAAGGTATCTAGCCAGAACAAAACCAGGGCAAGGAGGGAGGTACAAGGACAGTAACCAAAATTATTTCTCATTTGTATTCCTAGTCTCAAATGAGCAGCTCCCCTGCCACAAACCAAGTACTCACATAATCTGATATTGCTCACAACAAAGTAACCAATGTAGAAGGGCACCATGAAGATTAGGATGAGCAAAATAACACACAGGTTCAGCTTCCAATGAAAATATCGAGAGCTGAAATAAAGCCAAAATACTGATTAGCACAAAATCATAATACAACCAATTTCTCAAAGAAAATAGCATGTCAGTAAAATCTTTCCAACTACATCAAGCAATGAACAATATTGGCTTAGCATATAGAATAATCTGGATTTTTTTTTATTAGGGTAGATGAGAGGGAGTTTTTTTGTTTGGGGCTTGGTATGGTTTTATTTTTAAATACAGAGGTCAAGAATGTCTATTTAAAACTAAATAACTATCCAGAAAACCACACTGGGTCTTTTATGAAGTACTGTATTTTCTATGGTGACTAATGCCAGTTGCAGCATGATTCATGTGACTGACTGCTCATCTAGTTGAACAGTAAATCAAAACTAAGTATAAGCAGTAATTAATTTTCTAATGAACAGCTGAGTAAAAAAAAGAGCTAATTCATACTGAAAAGACTAAAAATATTTAATGTTGATAAGTCAGCATGTTTCATTTCAGAGTGAATGTCTCATCTGCAAGACTTTGCAAAGCAAGGTTTTATAAATACATATTACAGATCAACATGATGAATACTCCTCTGACCAAATTAGAGTAGTCAAATGCAGGTCAGATTCATCTTGGCTGAACTGACCTTTCACTTTACTTGAACAGAAAAATACATGTCCCCATTCCCAACATTAACTCTTATCCTCAGGGAAGCAGAAATGACAAAGATCCTTGTCACTTTTTCCTAACTAATTCAGAAGCAAACATTTTCATCTATACTGAAGTCTAGCCCTTTATTGAGCTTTATAAAAGCCTTCTCCTCAGTGATGTCTCTGGCTACCAGCCCCACGTATTAATAACATACAGAACTACCATTACCTTTCATCAGTTCTGTACTTCTTGCCTTTCAACCCCTTTGACTGCTCTCTTATACTTGTATGATGAGACAGAGTAAGAAGAAATCCAACTTAACCTCTACATGCTATTGTTCTATCTTCTCTTTCCTACTGACTTCCAAAGATGACAGTTTTTAACATTCCCTTTATGTAAAAGTCCTCATCCTATTATCAAGGGGGGATTCACCTTTGATTCACAAATCCTGTATTGTTACAGACCTAGCTTTCACTCCACAATTAGCTTCACATCTTATTCACTCCTCTGACCACCAAAGAAAAACCAGTGCTTAAACATTCTGTAGTCTTTAGCATCTGAAAAGTGCTCTTAGCATGATCTGAAGAGTTACAATACTTCCATAAAGGAAATCATTTCTTTTAACTTCACAAATGGAGACCTTGCCCTAAGGACCTAGACCAATTGTTAATAGCAATTGCATGGAAAATTGGAAACTTATGGCTACTAGCCCCATGCTCTGTCGAATAAAAAAATGTTGCTGCACAAACACCTTCACTGAGCTGCTGACAGTTTTCTCCCTCGATTTCCCCCCACCAAGACTAATCCATTAATTTAGAAGTTAGACTGAAGATGCTGCAGAGCACAAGGCAGGCCAGTCCCCAGTGGGCTCCCGGACTCACCTGCTGTTCAGCACTCCCAAAATCTCAAAGATGATGAGCTCAAACATGGTACAAGAGAAGGCAAAAGTCACAGAGAAGATCACCTGGACCACATACTGTCGCACCTGCAATGCAGAGAACAATCCAGAGACATCAGGCACTTCCACTTCTGGAACAGCATCCTGATACCCCTTAGATAATAAAACAAATCACAAGGTATGATGGCCCACAACTGGGCCTCTTGCTTAAAGGCACCAAGCCCTTTATCTGCCAAAAGCCTCTTGGAAAACAGAGGGCAAACTCCTACACTGAGAGAGCTCTTTGATACTAACCTTAGATTTAAAAACACAATCCACATCAGAAAAACTGTTGGGATCTAAATTTGGCTTGCATTTAAACTATGTCTGACCTGGACTACAATCTCATACTCCACTACGGATAAGAGAATGGCATTTTTATCCCATCCAGTCCTCACAACCATTCAGCTGCAACTGACACATCTCACTGAGTTTAAAGTTAACCACTGGATTTGATTTTGTCTCAGAAATTTCAGCTTATATAAGGTGGGCTTACCCACCTTTAAAAGGCAAAACAGTTCCCTCAGTTTCCTTTTACCCCTGCACCTCCTGCAGATTTCTTTTTATTTAACAGTAGCCAGTATGGAAACTTTCAGTGGCCACAGAAGAACCCATTTTCTCAGATATCCAGTCTTTCAAACAGAAGCACAGGAGGAAATTAAAAAGAAAGTAACTGCAGGTAAGAAGAAAGGGATTAAAGAGAGGAGTAAGTCTAAATGCAGTTTTAAACATATTTCTATAATTGGGAGTATTTTTTAAGATACAGACTTGTAATGAAAGGCTCATTCTCACCTCATAATCCTTGAAGAGCTTTCTCATGAAGAAGAGCCACCCAAATCCAAAGAACAGCACCTGCAGAAGAGATGAGGCATCAACATTTGCATCCTGCAACTTGCCAAACTCAAACCCACCACACTGCTGACTGCAAATTAAACAAATGGAAGGAAAACAGCTAACCCAAAGCACCCAAGATCCACAAAAGATTAAAACTTGGCACAGTACCATGGAAAAAATAATGTTTTACATATCTAAGTGTAGCAGATAAAAAATGCTGTGGCCTTGAGGAAGATCGAATCAAGACAACAGATTTTGGTTTTCCCAAATTCTCAGAATTCCTCAGTTCCTGGCCTGCCAGAATCCTTTGCACTCTTGGTTCTTGTTATCTACAGAATTAAAGCCTATGGGTTTTTTTACAGGAAATACAGAAATGGAGGCAAAGCAAACACTTGAATACACATCTTCTAGGGATGAGTAAATTTTATAAAAACATCTGCTCTTTCTTGTAGACTACAAGTGCCTGTGAATTTTTGTAGAGGTCTTTACAGTACATCTGATTAGACACTGACACATTGTCAGTGTCTAACAGGGGTGAAAGATGCTACAAGGATCTCTAAGGTGGCGGAAAGGCAGTGCTGAATGCCTCAAACCACAACCTGGAGCTGCAGGAAGCCACATGGACATGAAAAAGCTAATAACACTTTGCATTTCAGTGGTCATGAAAGCACATTACAAAATTTGTTAAAGTTTCTTTAACTCCAGAAGGGATCAACTTAATATCAACTATTTTGCAGATGACTTAAATGAAGTAAATACAAACTGAACAAGGTGGCCAAATTGCAATTACCTGTCTTCAGAGAGCAAAAGGGGACTGTGTTGTCAGGCCTCCCGTGGGTAGTCCCATCTATTCCTCATCAGACTGAAAGGGAGTGTAATGATTTAAAAGAACCCAAGCAAAAAGAGAATTCAGGAAACACTCAGTGTTTTTTACAGAAGTAGCTTTGTCCAAGGCAAAGACAAAATTCAGTGTATGTCAGACACCACGGAATAAAGTCAGCATATCTCCTCAGAGCACATGGAAAAGGCCAGAGCTTTCTGCCCACCCTGCCCTGGAGATGAGAAACATTCAAAAGGCAAAACCAAAGGAATTGTTGTGGATTACTTCCCTGCACATCAGGAGTAGCCACAGTGGCAAAGGTAACACACCAACATGATTTACAGGCAAGGAGTACCTGGAATGCTGGGCAAGAAGATCAAACACAGCTGCCTTGAAAGAAAACTGAAATAGGAATGAGGTCGAATGAGTGATTTGAAACAGCTGGCAAAACTTGTTTGAGGAGGACTTCAGACTTTAAAGCAGCTGCTAGCAAAAAGGAAAGATATTTCACAAGCCTCCTATCTAGGGGTCATAAGCTAAATAAGTATGATAAGCAAATGAGATCTGCATCAAGTAATTCCACATTTAACAATGGAAAGGAGAAAAAAGGTAGAGACAAACTTTTAAAAAGAAGTAAAAGATGAAGAGCTAAGTAGGTAGAATAATAACCAAAAACCAAACAAGATTAGACTCCCCTTGTGTTACGGACTGTACAAAAGCAAAGAAAGACATTTTGGTAGAAGTTCACACTCTAAGACATTGCAGGTGAATGTGACATGCAAACTCGGCAAAATCTCGAGCATTTGACAATTACATGTAGCAACACATCTAACTTGGTACTGTTGAAGGTAATGAGAGGCTTTAAAGCTGCCATCAGAAATGAAAGAAAAGCTATTAGATAAGTTAGAGCTCAGAACTCAAAGCGAAAAAAAGTGGGAGGTTTTGTTCTGGGTGAACTGTTAACAGTACCAAAGCTATGCTCTAACCCTAACCCAAACCCTAACCCAAACCCTAACCTTCAATCCACCAAGAGTGGAAAAGCACGTTGTAAGCAAAAATCAAAGCATTATCAAATGGGAGGGCATTGTTCTTCTAAGAGACAGCCAAAAGCTGTCCCGAAAATTGCCAGGAATGAGGGTTGTGCACTGAAGCCTATCTAAGACAACCACCTGCTGCTGAGAGGGCCAAGGTTCCTCTTCCTCAGCTCATCCCTCATCACTACAGAACCAAATTTTCACACCAGCTCAGCAGCTTAAACCAGACCCCTCTGCGATCCACTTAAACGCATTTTCATCCGGTCCAACAGCCCAGGATCAGCCTTGCTGACAAACACCAGAAACAAACCGAGCACTCAGTGGACACCAGCAAGGTGAATTTCCTTGCCCGTTCCAACTAGAGACATTTAAATTTAAAGGAAAGCGGACCTCGGTTCTCCTGCTAAAGTTTAAATTTGAATTTAAATTTGAATTTAAATTTAACTGGGCTGGGCTCGGTCCGGCCCGGCCGCCCCCGAGGGTCCGCGCGCCCCCCGCGCGGGGCGCTGCGCACGCGCGCCCCCAGGCGCCGCCCCCGCGCCTCTCCAGGCACGGACAGGGCGCAGGGAGAGGGAAGCCCGGTGACGGCGGCACCTCCCCGCTCCCTCGCCCTTCTGCCGGCCGGAGGCGCCGCGCCGCAGCGGCGGGCAAGGGGTGGCTACCTGCGAGGTGAACATGATGCTGGAGTCGATGAGGAAGCTCATGGCGGCGCCCAACGCTGCCCGCTCCGCCCCGCTCTGCCCGTCGCGCTTCCGGCTCCGGTGGCGGCGCTGCGCAGGTGCCCCGCCCTCCTCGCGGCGGGGGCGGGGCCACGGCGGGGAGGCTCCGCCCCCTGGCGGGCCCGGCCACGGGTGGGGAACATGGCGGTGCCGCCGTGAGGGGGTGGAGGGGGCACTTGAGCCCTTCGGCTGCCCCTGCGGAACTCAGCTGCCCTAAAAGCCGCTGGAAGGGCACCCGCTGCCGGCCGGGGGGCAGAAGGAGGTGTGCGAGGCACAGATAGAAGGACAGGGTGAACACCGAGCTCTGAGGGGGACAGGGACCTCTGTTGGAGCGAGTCCAGAGGGAGCCACCGAGTTACTTGGAGGGATGGAGCACCGCTCATCCCTCCTCAGGCTTTCCTCAAAAGGCTGAGGAAATTGGGATTGTTCAGCCTGCACAGAGACGGCTTAGGGGTGACCTAATTGCAGCCTTGAAGGGAGCCTGCAAGAAAGATGGAAAGGGGTTTTGTACAGGAGCATGGAGTGCCAGGACAAGGGGGAATGGATTCAAACTGAGAGAGGGCAGGTTTCGATTAAACATTACAAAGAAATTCTTTACTGTGAGGGTGGTGAAGCACTTGAACAGGTTTCCCAGAGACGTGGATGCCCCATCCCTGGAAGTGTTTAAGGCCAGGTTGGGTGAAGCTCTGAACAACCTGGTCTAGTGGGTGATGTCCCTGTCCATGACACTGCGTGATCTTTAAGGTCTCTTAAAGACCCAAACAATTCTGTGATTCTGCCATTTTACCCTTGCTGTGACTCCTCTGCAGGGCAGCAGGGACACCACAATTGCTCCTGGCCCATCTTCCCCCCAAGGGGAGATTGATCTGGAGCCCTCTCCATCCTCCCTCCACGCTGAGAGCTGGGCTGCTGGTGCCTTTCAGGACTTGCAATTACAATATACCAAGGAATGGGGCCAGAAGGGAAGCAAAAGTGCAGACAGGGAATTTCCTGATGGCTATTGGTGTGAGATCCAATCCTTCATGTCACAGTCATGTTCCCACTTGACCCTCATGGCGTCTGAATCTTTTTCTTTTTTCCTCTTAAGTACACACCTTGAGGAAATGGCCTCAAGTGGCACCAGGGGACATTCAGATTTGACATTAGGGGGGGGAAAATCACAGAAAAGATTGTAAATCATTGGAACAGACTGCACAGGGAAATGGTGGAGTCACCATCCCTGGAAATGTTTGAAAAACACGGATATGGTGCTTGACAACATGGTTTGAGGGTGGTGCTGGATTGGCAATTGGACTTGATGATCTTGGAGGCCTTTTCCAACCCTAATGATTCTGATTTTATGATTTTAACCATTGCCACTCAAAACTCTCTGTATTCAGAATAATAAACAGAAAGAGGAGAATCAAATTGTGAGTTTAAAAAAGCACAGAGCCCCTGCTGACTGAAAATCAGAAAACTTTATTCATTACAACTCATTTCACTAAGAAAACAAATCTATGTTTGGTTGTGCCGAGACACCAGACTAGTCCCACAGTCTCTGACTTTGGCTTTCTGTCTTGCTCTCAGACCTCTTGGTTTGAAATTTGTCCCCTTATCTGCAGTATTGCAAAGAGAAGAAAACATTCAGTCTTCATGGAGAAATTACCTGAAGGAGCAGGTTATTGTATCTGATCTGAGACCTTTTGTTTTACACCTCCTGGTACCACTGCCAGTTCATGCAGAGCTGAGATCAGACCTTGCCTGTTCTTTCTTTCTGTATCTGCTACTTAAAAACTGTTGTTTCCTAAAGTGATGAGATTCCTGAGTTTGGAGGGATTTGTGGTTGTTTTGTTCTGTGTTGGTAGGTTATGGGGCAAGGTTAGCTGTTGGTTGCCTTTTAGAGACCAAGGTTAAGAGGAAATCCTTTAAAAAGAAGTTCTACAGAGCCAAATTCTGATCTTGTTTATGCCTTGGCAACTTAACTTCCACACAAGGGTAAAAAACAAGGCAAGAGTTTGGTCATAGGTCTTAAACTTTCTTCTTTGCATGTGTTTGGAAATAGGCTTGAAACATGCCTCTGCTTAGCTGAGAATTACTGATCCCTGGGCCTTGGGAGAAACACACAGGGAACAAGATAATTCCTACAGGGAAAACCCAGCCCTACACCCACCTCTCAGCCCCAGGGCTTCTCCTTCAGGGAGGACAAAAAGTGTGAAAAGAAAATGGGAAATTTATTTTGTGCTGTTCCTCCTCAAGCAGTCACTGATGTGCATGTGTGGGGAGAAGGGTCCATGGCCCTCCACAGGTACAAAGGCAGCTTCTCAGTTGCAGTTGTTCTTCCACATATTATAGTGAATGAAGCTATTTTGTGTTCACTTTGTAGAGAGAACCGAAATCATGCCTTTTAAGTAATGCAGGAAGGTGCAGAATATCGAATTAAATCATGGGGTTTGGCCAAGAGTATATTTAGAAATCACACAGGTTTCCAGAAGGTGCTACGGGGCATATTTATGACAAATAGCCTTAGCTGGCAGCCAGCCACTCATTTTCTTTTTTCTTCTCTCCTGAGGTTTTCATAAACAAGAACTCTGAAGCTGGAAGCATTCCCCCATCATTCTGATTTCTGCATTTCCTTTGAGTTTATATTTGATGAATTCAGGTGATGATGTTCACTGGAATTCATGGATTCCTTTACAGGGTTGTCTGTGACTCTTTTGTGAACTAACATGTGTGTATTGAAAAACTTACCTGAGCATTTTTCTATATAGCTTTTCCACCTTGGAAGCCAATAAATGCCTGGTTTGCTTTCACTGTACCAAGCTGGATCTAGCAAGGCAGAGGCCAACACTCTTTGTTTTTTTTTTAAAAATGTTCTGTCAGTAGCTCTGTAATCACCATTTCTATTCAGTGCTGCTTCATCCCAGATCAGCAAGCTTTAAAACACACAGGTTTTTGTTGACAGAATGTTAAAATGCAGTCCTCTGCACTTTCAGATGGATTTAAAGGCACACTTGACGCTGAAGTTAAAATATGGAAAGACCTAAGCCATACTCTCTTTTTTCTTTTTCTTTTTTTTTTTTTTATTTTATTTATAATGCTTTTTCCAAACCAGTTACACAACACGATTCTGGCCTCAAGCAGCTTTTGTAGCTACCAAACACCATTTCATAGAATCACAGAATCATAAGAATAGTTTGGGTTGGAAGGGACCTTGAAGATCATCCAGTTCCAAACCCCTCCCATGGGCAGAGACACTTTCCATCAGACCAGGCTGCTCAGAGCTCCATCCAGCCAGGCCTTGAGCACTTCACCAGCTGATTCTGTGTGTGCATCAGCCTCTGCTGGTGCCTGGGGGGGTGCTGTGGCCTTTGGGACAGCCTAAACCAGCTCCACCAGAGCACCCAAGAGAGGCAGGGAGTGCCCTACATGTGTCACTCCACCATGCAGTGGCTGCACTGAGCTTTCAGCATGGGATATCCCATGGGATAGATAGTTCAGGCTGGAAGGCATCACCTGGCCCAACCTCCAGCTCAGTACAGTCAGATTTGGATGCTCAGTGCTTTCCCCAGCCAAGCTTCATCCCCCAAGGATGAAGATCCCACCATGTCTCTGGACACCTGCTTTAGTGCTGAACCACTCTCCATCTGAACAATTTTTTTCCTTGTCAGAGTTTTTTTAGGCAAAATTTTCCTTTGCTGCTCATTGTGATTGTTGCCTCTGATCTTTTGCTGTGCACATCTATCAAGAGTCTGCCTGCATCTTCCCTGGAATTCCTCTCCCTTAGGAACCTGAAGAAAGCACTTAGGGCTCCCAATGCCCTCAGCCCCCTCCTCTCCAGGCTGAACAAACCTCCTGTGTCTCTTTGTGCAGCAGGCTGCTGAGAGGAAAGTTCGAATTGTTGACAGATACATAAGTCTTGCCTCTTCTACTGAAATAGGCTGGTGCCAAGCTAGTGGCAAGGAAAGGATTGTGTGCCAGGCTATGTCTTGGCAAAGCTGACACATACTCACTTGCCATGGTTACTGCTCAGCTGTGTGAGCACATTGGTGTTGGCAAAAAGCCTTTCCTGAGCCATGTTAAAAGGTACAGCACACACAGAGCCCAAGGAATGGCAATGTCATTTTGTTGGGGCGAAAAATCATTCCAATACTTGGACAAGTCCCCTGATTTTGGTACATTTATCCAGCCCTGGCCCTCAGGAAATCTGGCACCATATACTGTTTTATCACAGCTGCCTTGGGCTTACAGGAAGGCTTTAGTGTAGTACTCATGGATGTTCCTGCCTTTACTAAACAAAACTAAGCCTAGGCTAGGATTACTTTCAGTTGTCAGCCTGAAAAGCCATTTTCTATACAAAACAGCAAACTGCCACTTTTTTTTTTCAGCATTGTGTGACACAGCTGCTCTTTAAATGTAAAACTGCACAGTCAGTGAGTTACTGAGCAGCAGGAGAGATAGGGCTTCCCCCACCATTAAGTAGATTTGATGCCCACACAGACCTAGAGAGCAGAGATCCCCCAAATCTCTCCTCTCCTGCAGGAGAAGGAATCTGCACCTCACTGTGTTTCAGCACTGAGAGGTTGTGGATGTCGGTCTCTGTGGCTCTGAGTGGTTTAAAACAGAAGCCCAGTGATATTCTGTATGATACAACCCTCTGCCACATGCCTTGCAAGCACCTCAAAACTGTCAGAGCTCCACCAACCTGAACCAAGTGCTCCAGGAACTGCCTTATTTAAGCACACATGCTGCCCCAGAGTGGATGCTGGGGATGGAGAAGAGGGGTCCACATCACCACACTGTCACCACAGCTTCATACATGGCCTTGGCTAAGGTGGGACACATGGGTGAGGGAATCAGTAAAGTCTTTTTTACCCATGGCAAATCCACATCCATGTTAATGTTGTCAGTGCAGTGCAGTGTTCACATTTCCAAACTACTGCCCTTCTGGTCGAGGAGTCATATATTACCCAAGTTAGCAGTTCTGCCAATAAATAACAAGGATACCATGCATTTCAGCAGTGCTTTTCATCAGATCATTCCTACTTACTTTACAAACAGAATTAAGGAAGCCTCACAACATCCCTGTGAGGTAGGTGGAAATTCTTACACCCATTTTACAGGTGGAGAAAAAGGCACCGAGAGGTAAAGTGATTATCACAGCAAGTCAGAAGCAGAGCTGGAAATAAATCTAAGATTATTATCCTAGGTCCACTGCTCTAGACACTAGAGAACACCAACCCCCACATGCTATTGTAAGCTAAGAGACTACCTTGCTCTTCTACTTTCACTTCCTTTGGTGATTTTGACACTTGCATCTTATGCTCCTTGCAGAGAGCCATGTGATCAGTTAGGAATTTATTTGCACAGGGAGCCAAAGGGGTAAACACACCTTTAAATTATTCAGGCATTGCTCTAATTGTCCAGTGGTTTCCCCCTTCCCAAGGAAATAATATTCCCCATTCATCATATATATCTTTATGTTTTGCTAAGTTATTTTTTGAGTAGAATCATACACTGCATCCACAGCTCTGAGGCTGTTATGCAACTTCACTAGGAATTTCTTGAATAAACTATTAAGTTTGTCTCATTGAGAGGGAATAAAGCACATTTATGTGCTATCACATCCAGAAATAGCAACAATCCTTTGCTCATCTGTAGGGCTTTCCATCCAAGGACCTCCCTTTCCATAAGTAGCACAACATGTCAGGCCTCACATCATGATTGTCAGGTAGGAAATTATTCCCAATTGCACAAGAAGGAAGAATGACTTGCTGCCAGTCCCACAGAGATTTCCTTGCAGAGATGAGGCTGAGTGCCAAAGACTGGACTGTTCCTGCCCCCTTTGCTGAGCAGCACTGTCCTGATGCCATGGCCCGTGCTTGGTGGCTACAGATTCACTGCCAGCCAGGCAATGTACTTGAAAACTGACTTTAAAATAAAAAATAAAAAATCAAGAAGCAGTTGAGTGGATGCAGGAGGAAAATGCCAGGTTCTTCTTGTGCTGTTGGGACCCAGAGGAAGAAAGGAGCATTCCTGTGGCAGCTGGGAGAGAACTACAGTGTCCATGGAGCACGCTGCACATGGTGCATTTTACTGATGCTCTCCAGTGGAAAAGGACATAATTAACATATGGTGATTAAAGACTGCCCTGCCTGACAGCCTTGTTATGAACCATGTACTCCTGATGAACAAGCACTCATCTTTAAGTAGTCCTGTAGTGTAATGAATGTATGAATGTCAGAGATCAGCAGTGGAATTGTCAAGTAACTACAAGTCAGCAGGGGTGGGTGTGATTCAAGCAGTCCAGTACCCTGGTATCTGGAAGGGTCAGATGCTCTGATGCAGATACCTCACATAAACTGTAACAAGGTTGTGGTTTTTACCTGCAGGAAAGTGTTTCCAACCCCCTTCAATAAGCGGGCTGGTTGATGCTTAGAATAATTCAAACTCTTATCTCTTTCTATGGAGAAAATAAAATAGATCCCATCTAGTGTAAGTGTGGTGATTGTGTTGTTCATCTAAATCTTAGCCCTTTCTTTAGTTCTAATATCTTGAACTGGGCACAGTGGACTCTTTCTGCTGAAAAACATTCTCTTCCCTCAGTTGTGATAACAGTTCTCCTGTTTCTGTATTAAGAGAGTGGATAAATGGCAGCCTCCAGGCTCTCTCTCTGCACGTGTTGCTTTGTCATATTCCTTCCCAAAACTGAGGAGGGACCTTCCAGTCTTCCTTCACAAGGAAGGACACCCGACAGCCTTTGTCTAAGGAAAAAAAGGTTTTGACCTCAGCCTGCAAACCTTGGGAAGATACACAGGCCCAAGAGGAGCAAAAGGATGAATAGTGTTAATAAAAAAATTAAAAAAAAAAAAAAAAAAAGGAAAAAACAAAAACAATACGTGACACCTCTGTGGTGGATGAAGAATCCCAATGCACCCTACAAACTTTCTACATATGTACAGCTTATTGTCACTCAGCAGTGAAGTCCGGCCAGGCAGGGAACTCCACCAAAGGGGTGGTGGGATCAGGACTGACTGTTCTGGGGCTGGGACAGGGCCCAAGCCTGCCCAGGGCTCTCACAGACTCCCATTTGCCTTTCCTGGGCTTTGAGTCAGACCTGCCACAATGGGAGGCCGCAGTGGGGCTTTTCTAGCTGATGGCGGGATGAGTTTGATGCATTGTGCCAAAGACCATTTTTTCCCTGACCTGGATTAGAGCCTGCCCTGGGAACAATGGGATGGGCTGCAGCCCAGCAGAAAGAATTTGCTGAGATGGCAGGGTCTGAGGTTTGCAGAGCAGAGCAGAGTGCATACCTGCACTTTTTTGGCATGGGGCTCAGTTTTGGGGGGGACGTAGCTGTTAACCTGAAGCTTTTGAACGCATTGCTGCAGTGTCCCAGCCAAGAGTTGCTGCTGTAGTCCTAAAATTAGAAATCTATATTAGACATCTAAACATTTGCAAGCACATCATTTTCTGCCTTCTGTAAAAAAAGATTTTTCTGAGTCTCTGAGAGTTCTGTACAGACCTGTTGGCACAAAAGGTCTAAGTCATCTTTTGAAAGGCATTGTCTTACTTGACCAAGACTTTGGCATTTAATGGAGGAGTACCCCACTGAATGGCTCCTGTCTGTCAAATTAAAAACAAAGGCTGTCAAAAGACTTTTACCATATCAGTCTTTTCAAACTTGACCAACCAGTTTTGTATTTAGAAGTTTAAAAAGTCACATAGTTACCCAGACCCCTGGTTTAGGTTCACAGGTGCCTTCAGGACTCTGTACCTGAGATTTGCTGAGTGCCTGGGAGCCTGGAAGCTTCAGGAACTGAACACTTGTCAGGATCATACCATGAAGGCTTGTATTTGGTTTCATGCTCTGGGGGCTATAGCTGTCCCCTCCTTTCTCAGAAGATTTTTTTTCCCTCTTATTTGGCTAAATCTAGTTTCAAATTTTTAAGTCACAAGGCTACAAGTAAAAAATATCACTTGAATTTATTCTTTCCAGTGTTCTGAACTAGTCTCAGGGCTGGATGACCCTCTTGGGAACAAATACTCCATCTCTGGGCATCTGCTAAGTCCTAGTAAAGAGCTACTGTTAACCTTGCCCACTGTCAATATTGCTTGAAGAGCAGAAATATTTTTTGACCAGGGAAAATATATTTACCTAACTCAGATATGCATTCACAGAGAAATTTGGAACATTTTTGCCTTTATTTTCTGAATAAAGAAGGGAAGTTAGGCTTAGTATTTTAGTGTGTTGATGCCAAGCATAGAATTCACTTTGTGAATTAAATAACTGCAATTCCATGCCAACAGCAAAGGGGAGATCTGCTCAGTAAGCCATAAGAGGAAACAGAAAGAGAAAGACTAGATACAGTTGTTGATCAGTCTTTCCCCTCACTGGCTGAAAGACAGATCCGCCCCACATTCCTAGAGAAATGTGGAACACAAGGCTTTCAGTAAATATGATCATAGTGGCAACATTTGGGTATCACTGCCATGTTAGGCTTTAAAATACATCAGTTATGTGTACAGTGTAGATCTTACTTACTGTAAGGAGTGAGCTGGCATGTGGAAACAGGGAAATACAGGGACATATGGGGCAAATAAGGCACTGATACCATGGTAGTACCTTTCCAGTTGAGAATCATAAAAGGAAATAATATTCAAGTGGCCATTTTAGCACTTTGCTTAAAAATATCTTTTGATTCTTTCTCTATCTCTCCTTTTCTCTTCAACCTTTTCCTTGTCATGTGCTCCCCGCATCCTGCACCTTCATACAGTCAAATCATCTGACCTGGCCCGGCTGCTGGCTTTACTTAGCCTGCTCAGGGGTCTCATATCAGCGGCAAGTTCAGCAGGTGCTGAAGGCCCTTCCACTTCATCTCTCACCGCCTCCTCTTCTGCTTTCTTCACCCCTGGCTCTTCCTGAGGCCCTGGCTGCTCCTCCTCTCGTTCCTCCTCCTCTGCTCGTACCTTCTCCTCTTCTGGTTCCTTCGCTTGCGCGTACGACGGTAACCTCTCATCGAATGCTCTGGAGAGATCTTCCAGTGGTCCCATCCCAATCTTCTCCTCAAACTCATTGTAGGCTGATGGAAGGGGGCTGGGCTCAACCCCTACTTCCGTGAGAGGGAAATAGTGGGACACTGGCTTCTCTTCTTCCAGCAGCTTGTAGCCTTTGGCCTTTGGGATGGAGGGGACTGCGATGGCGTGGAGGGGCTTCTCGGGGACCTCTCCAAGCTGCTCCTCTGCCGGCCTCCTCAGAGCCCTCCGGATCCTTTTCAAGATCAAATGACTGATCTCCACCAGGTTGAGGAAGAGGGACACGGAAGCCACCACCAGCATGAACATAATGAAGATGGTCTTCTCCGTGGGCCTGGAGACAAAACAGTCCACAAGATTGGGACAGGGCCACCGCCCGCAGCGGTAAAGGGGGAGAATTCGGAAGCCATACAGGAAGTACTGACCTACTATGAATCCCACCTCAAAGAGGGTTTTGAAAATGATGTGGAAGATGTAGGTTCTCAGAAGAGTACCTTCCAGGCGAAACTTCTTGGTTCCATCAGGGTTGTTGCCTTTGTTTTGGTTTGGAGCCAGGGGCAGCTTCTCTTCATCCACCTCAGCTTGCTGGCGCCTCTCAGCTTCCTCCCTCTCTTTCCTCTTCTCCTCCATGCGGACGTGGTGCACAGCATGCCCGAAGTACATTAGCGAAGGGGTGGATACAAAGATGATCTGCAGGACCCAGAGCCGGATGTGGGAGATGGGGAAGGCCTCATCGTAGCAGACGTTCTCACAACCAGGTTGCTGGGTGTTGCACACAAAGTCTGACTGCTCGTCCCCCCACACGAGCTCGGCTGCCGTGCCCAGGATCAGGATGCGGAAAATGAAGAGCACTGTCAGCCAAACTCTCCCGATGACAGTGGATTGCTCGTTCACCTGCTCTAAAATGTTCCCCAAGAAACTCCAGTCACCCATTTCTTACGGTCTAAAGGAAGAAAAAACAAAGAGAAAGACCACAAATTATGCTAAATTTTAAAGATTTCAGGTTCTCCCGCTGATGTCTTTTGTTGCTTTGAGAACAGAAGGGCAGGCGGTTGCTTGCTCGCTGATTTGCCTGTTCACAATGATTTATTAGCAGAAGAAGGGCTGGGAAGCCAGAGCAAGCTGCCTGCTAAATTCTTCCTTCTATGGCTCTAAATGGGCAATTACTTTTCAGCCAGGGAGTATATTTATCTCCTTTTGCAGGTGAGAGTCTTCTGTAGGCTCAGTTCTGTGAGTCTGCTTAGATTTTGTACACGTACAAACACTCACCAGCAATACAGTGGAACAGATTTATCAGCAGGCAGCTGCAGTGGTTAGAAGAGAGTATGAAGCTTTCAAGCACACAAATGCTTCTGCACCAGAACCCCTCTTGGGTCGAACAGATCTCAAATCTGAACCCATATTGCACCTAAACAAACCTGAATTCTCTCCAGGTTGCAGACGTCAATTCTACTTCAGCAATCACTGTTAGGTAAGAACAGCAATTACAACACCATTACTGTGGTAGTAATGCTGTATAAGCTTAACAACTACTATATGGATTAGTTTTGCTGTATAGAATATGTTATATGCAATATAATTATTTGGTGCTACTGGGGCTATTCTTTGCATCTCCTTCTGAAGCCAGTTACCACACTGACAGTGGAACCAACTTGGGAAAACACCAAGGTCTCTAACTGGGACCTAAGATGCTATTTGCTGTCTCTAAAATGTCAGTGCCACTATCTCAGGCTAACACAGAGCTGGAAGCCAGCTGCAGATACACTATTGGAAAGCTAAGGCAGTCATCCATTTTCAAATAATGGAAGTCAAATAATACATCTGTCATTACTTTTGCATGATAAGAAATTATTTCTAGGTCAGGGTTTCATTCTGCATGTCCTGAACTTCCCACTATATAATTTCAGGCAAGGGAAGATTTATGAATGAGGAAAATAGAGATGAAAGTTGTTTTGTATGGGTTGATTTAACACATCACAGCAGTCTAAAGTCTCTGAGGAATGTGGAATATTACAGTGGCCCAGAAAGACCAACTTGTAGAGCATGACAAGTGAAACAGGGAGCATTATTCATAAAATAGCTGTTCACAGGGATCTAGAATTTCATCTCTTAGATACTACCTCCATCTGTAGTTCCCTAAATGCAGACACATACACAAGCACTCGGAAAAGGAAAGTACAGTCAACAGCATGAAAATCTGAGTATCTAAACTTCCCTCCTCCTTCAGATACCACTGGGATATAATTGTGATGCCATATGTTGTGGCACACCAACGCATACCAGCCTGTTTCAACTACTCTGTGTACGTAGTCACACATAGATAAACACACAAAATATTGAGAATTCTATGGCTCGGGGAATTTCACAAATTTTCAATCAAAAAAAAAAAACCCCACAAAAAAACCCCCCACATACTTATGATGGCATTTTTCTAAAGCAAGATGGACTCATATTCCTTGCCTTCAAATCTCACAATATTTTTACCCTGGACAGCCACCTTAGAAAATGAAGAACAGAACACAGTTCCTTCAGCTTGCACAAACACCTCGCATACATAAGTGGCAAACATATAATTTAATCACCAAGGAAAATTGCTACTTTCTCAGTCATTAAAGTCGTGTAAAGAAGTGTGTTAATGTCAGCGCTTACATTAACAAGTCTAGCAGAAGATTATGCTGTTTACATACATTCTCTAAACTGATTTAAACATCCTCTTTCTGCAAATTCACAGAGCAAAGTACACCCCACAGTTACCAATCACGTGCAACTCTGTAAAAAACATGACTACACACAGTACAAGCTTCATTGTCCCCCAGGCACCTCAGTTACCTTCATCTCCTTCTCTCCCTGTGAGTCACACTGATATCTACGCTACCATTTGAGCATTACCACTGCAGCCCTCAAGAGCAACATTCTAGGTGTCATAAACCTCATCACACAGAAAACTCACTGTGCAAGAGAAGAGAAAATAGAGAAAATGCTTCCTGTCTAACTCCATCACACGTCTTGCTCACAGCTTGCTACATTTGGCTGAGCCCTCCCTGAGATCCCTTCCAACTGGGCATGTTCTTCACAACTCTGCCATGCCCATCCCCTCTGGTTTCTGCAAGTGAAGTGGTTTGAGGTTGCTCACTCAGTTCAACAATATTGGGTGGAGGGATGAGGAGCAGCACAACCAGTCTGAACGTCTGGGTTCCACCTGCAAGCACTCAGCCCCTCCAGCCTCAAGAACAAAGTGGGTAAGCAGGGCATTTAGGTAGTAGCCACTCTCCCCTGAAATTGCCTGTCACGAGGAAAGAGCAGGGCTCTGCCTGAGCCCTCTCAGAGGCAGCAGATGGGTGTTGTGGGCTCTCCCAGGCTGGCTGCAGACCCCCACCCTGCTCCCAGCCATCACCACCTGCGCACAGCACCGGCCAAAGGGGCCCAACAGGTTAAGGGTGTTGAGCAAGCAACTTGCCGCTGTCAGAGGCTCCACCGAAGAAACGTGTCCCCCTCCTCTCTTGGCACTCTGCAGGGAAGAGTGAACTTTTGTCTCTCTTCTTCCCTACCCTAAAAGCCCCAATCTTGTCGCACGACTGAGCAGATATGACTGAATTGGCTCTGATGGTGGGTTTTAGTTGCCCTGCAATATTTAAGCTCCGAGCCAGACGGCTTTATGAAGTGAATGACAGTCAGTGACGTGGGGAACAATAGGGAGAAAAAAAATAGAGAGAGAGAGGCAGAGACACAGAGAGGAGAGTCCACTGAACATGAAAAAGCAGAGGGGGGAGAGGAACAGGCAGCAGGCAGTGAAAACCTAATACATGCATAAATGGGAGCTTGCTCAGTTAAGCAGGGACCAAAGCATCTCTGCAGTTCCACTGTGGTTCAGCACAGCTCTGTGTGTGTCCACACTCACTGGTCTTTAGGTGCTATGGTGTGGCAGGTGAAAAGGGAACACCAAAATCTCTGATAGTGACAGCATTAATTGAATTAATTTGCTACACTATGCCCAAATCTGACAGACAAGTTTCATTACTGATTTTCAGGCAGATTCTGAAGTACTGGGTTTGTATTTGGCATTATCAGATACTTTGGTTTGCTCTTTAACATCTTTTACCTGAAAAAAGCGGCAGAATGGGAAAACAAGATTACCAGTCAATATTAATCAAAGCTGAGAAAGACCAATTTTACAGCCTCACCTCTCAGTGTCTCAGCTCTGCTTAGTTTTTCCTCCAAATGCATCTTGCATGTGCACATGCATAAAGAATGTCTAAACCAAACTGTTTTGTTAAGGACCGTAGCTGAATTCCAGCAGCCCAGCACACAGGAATGTTTCCCCAGGCACACTTGCCTGCCACCAGCCACCTGCAAAAATGCTGGAGAGGCCGGAGAGGAGAGGAACCACAGGCTCAGTAATGCATCCACAAGTACAACTAAATGCCCCAAGAGTTTTAATTACAAGTCAAAGGCTATAACCTTACTCTGAGGTATGGTTTTTGTAGTCTTTCTGAAGGCATTGCTCAGAATGTGCTCTTGGTGCTCAGCCCTGAAGAAAAAGAGGATTACTGGAAGCAAGATTTGCTAAGCAGTGATACAGATGCCAAGCTCATAAAGTGATGAAGCAGCAAGTACCTCTCCTCTCTCTTTATGCAAACTCAACACTGAATTTAATTTCCCAGAATGGCATTGGGAGACACTCTGTCTCCAGAAATGCTGTCACTTGAATGAGATATTAAAACACGAGGGACGCAAAATTTTGTACCTTCAAACCAACAGTGTCAGGCCACTCTTCTGTGTTTCTGGGCATTTGTGTCCATGTAAGTTCAGAGCTTCATCTCAGGAGTTGTCTTCCCAAACAGCTTTTAGGCTGATTTGCAGAGCCCCAGGATCCAAAGCACAATTGGAAGCAGAGATGATGATTTTCAAAGTGAATTTCAAAAGAGCTAAGGCATAAGTGAGAGATGGAAAAGAGTCATATTTTGCAAGAGGAACCAGTCTGGAGACAAAAGAAAAATCCCCCTCAATGTACGTAGTTGGACTGAAATTCATACTCTGAACACCTTAAAAAAATCACTCTCCTAAACAGGGAAGCAGTAGCAGAACATTTTTTAGCCCAGTGCTACATAAAGCATAGGAACAGCCTTCCTGGAGAGAGGACACACGGTGGAGAATTCACAAGTCCCAAGAACACGACATGAACAAGAAAAGGCATGGTTGGATAAATGAGAGGAGCAAGGAGAGTAAGGAAGAGGAAAGAACACCTTTGTTGTTTTGTTTTGCTGTGTACTACTGAGATAAACTAGTATCAATGCATGAGTGAGTGGTCATCACTGCCACCCTCAACCCCTCTCTGGGAAGCAGTAGAGAGGGAGGAGTAAGCAGTACCACCACCAGCATCCAGCAATTTTTAGAGAGTGTCTGCAGGCTGGTGCATCACAGAGGGCAGGTGGTTCAGATTGTAAACTAACCATTCCTTCTCAAACCAAAACTGTCTTTTTGGAAAACTCAGCTCTAGCTGAATGTGCACATCCCTTTCTAGGCCTTTTCTCTCTAAGATAATGAGCCAAACCCCAAATCTGGTATGTAACTACATGGCTGTAGTCCATCTCTAAATTATATCCAGCTACTGTCAGAGACCTTTCCCATTAACCTTCTCTCTGCCTTTTGCTAACACTATCCAAATATCAAACACTGTCTGACAAGTTGCAGAACAGCTTGCAGTATGCAACTGATGCAGAAATTATATTCAAGTTTGTGATTATTTGGTCTGTGTTACCTTCATCCAAATGATCAGGGCCGACTTTCTTCGGTATCACAGAGTGCAGAGCCTTTAGCATGGGGCACACGCAGTTTTACAGGACATTTCTGGTTCGTGGACAACCAGAGTCCCTTCATCTGGAGGCTTTTTATGAAAGCACCACTGAGCTCTGGGTCAGGTTCTCCAGCTCACT